TAGAATATTCCTCCCCAAACTTAACTCTTATTTTTCTATCATTGAAGAAACTTGATATCTAATTATAAACCCTCCCTACTGTTTCCCATTTGTTGTAATTTAATGAGCAACCCTTCTCTCCACATTGAGTCATAGGCTTTTTCTATATCAAGGAATACAATTACTATTATTTCTTTCATTTTTAGTGCTTTTTCTATATCATTACTAACTCTAACTAATGCATCAGTTGTTGATCYACCTGTTCTAAATCCACATTGATAATTGCTAATGAGTACTCTTTGCTCTATATAACAAACAGCTATTAGGTGCATTACCGCCACCTACTGGAATGGAGTGTGGACCAGAATGCTAATGCTTGAGTCTTTGTCCAAAAGATCATTTATGTCCAATTTCAATTTATTGTCCTGTGAGCTACATACTAGTTCCCTTCTCTCAACAACAAACTTGGTGCAAAACTATAATACATGTTCTACAGTTTCGTCTTGAAAACATAAGTCACATTTTCCTGTAGCATGCTTTCCTATTCTAATTAATGTCTTATTTAATCCTGTATGACCAAATCTTAATCTAGATGTTATCATTTCTTCCTTTTTAATTTCTTTGTTTGCCTCATTACGCCAACCTTTCTTTGAATGCTATAGAACCACAGTTCTTTCTTCTTCCCATTGTTTCTGCCATCTTTCTTTGACCTTTTGTTTAATTTTTTGATTTGATTTCTGCTTTACTAAATGATATAATATCAACTCGACTGTTTTTTGTTGCTTGTTTTGCATACTTATCTGCCAACTCATTTCTCTTTATTCCTGCCTGTGATGGTATCTATATAAAGTTAACCACTAAACCCATTGCTTGAATCCTATAAACTATTTGTTGACTTTCAATTAAAAGGTCTGGTCTACGCTCTGAGTGATTATTTTTCAATGAATGTAAAGAAGAACTATCAAAGCAAATTACACTCCTCAGTGGTCGAACTTCCTCAATCCACCCCAACGCAAGGATGACGCCCATCATCTCTCCAGTGTAGATCGAAACTCCATCATTCTTTTGCCTGTTCTAAAACTGAATTCTGGAACTACAAATGAAACCCCATTTTTGTTATTTGCATCTTTTGATGCATCTGTATAAATTTGAACACATCCATAATATTTATTGTCCAGATATGCTCGTATTGTGTGTGGATCTGATATATTTTCTTTTTCACGTTTATTCAGCAAATAGATCAATAATAATACTGGGTAATAGGGATGGATGAACTGGTGATTGAGGAACTCTTTGACTAATATTTATGAGATAATTCAAACTCATTTAAAATGTTCTCTACAGTCCAACCAAAAGAGTTTATTTTCTGTTTCTCCTTTTCCCAACTTGGTTTCAAAATCTCTTGATATGGATGATTTTCATTATGACCCTTTAGATGACACCAATAATTTGAAAGTAACTGTAATCTTATCTGAAGCTGTATTTCTCCCATCTCCACTGAATATTATCTAATTTTTTGAGTAACGTAACTGACGCTGAACCAAACGCTATACTGCCATAATCAATTATAGATCGAATTAAGCCTGTATATATTACTTTCAACACTTTCCTTTCAGCTCCCCATTCATTCCCCACCAGACACCTCATCAGTGTGATTCGATTCCCATCCAAGTCATCTCCACTTTGCCATGCTTCTCCTCCTGCATACTTTGTCCTAGAGCTGCCATTGTAATTTATATCTGTAAAGCTTCTGTGCCAAATGATTGCTATGCCTTTTGGTGCCTGTYCAACTTATAGTTTTTGAAATATTAATGTTTAAAATCAAATAATGGGAGTCAATGGAGCCTTGTATTGGTCCAACACTGCCCCATGCTGTATCTACTCAGTACTGCACCATAGTTTAATAATATTTAAACTCAGTAGTTCAGTGTTTACAATACAAACATGATTGCATTTTGATATTTCACTATAATATTGTCCTAATATTCCTTTATTGTTGTAATATATTGCAGTTTAGTGTCAACAATTGCATTGGCAATATGGCCTCTTTCAGCACACATACAAAGTTAACACTGGGAGTGCCTACTGCAACAACTCCTATAGTCTCATGGTGAACACTATGGGCTTTCATGTGGGAGATTAGGGTTCAATCCCAGCCATAAACAAAATATTTCATTAAAATTACATAATTTCTAATTGTCATATTCTCACACAATTGCCCTCATTACAAACAACTGCTGACTCGGCAGGCACAAGCTGGTACTTGATTAGCAAACACATTTCAACTTGGTCACAGTTCAAGCTGCAGGAAATGGCATGCTACAAGGCAACGCACACTTGTTTTTGCATCGTAAAATCACATGTCTAGTTACATTTATAACTCTCTTACATTTATCTATTACTTTTTGAATATGCACTTTCCAAGTAAGTCTTTCATCAAATCGCAAACCCAAAAACTTAAATTGCTTTAATCTTTCCAAATGACGATTATACTGTATATTTTCAATTTTATATTTTCAGAAACTTTTTTCCTTGTAAAAAATAGTCATTGATTTTTCTATAGAAAATTTAAATCCCCACTTAAAAGACCAATCTTCAATTACATTAATCGCTTCTTGTAACTTTTTTTACAAAGAAATTTATATTTTTACCCCTCTTCCATATCGCTCCATCATCAGCAAATAAAGAAAAAAACATTCCATTCTCAAACATATCATTAATCATAACAGAAAAAAAATGCTCATTCAGTGGATAAATAATTAGTTCATGTTGTTTGTACCTTTGAAAAATTAAAAGCCGACCAGGTGAGACGTCATCATTTCACAGCTTTATTGTGACAAGGCTGCAGACAAGAAGCTTCATCTCCTAGTTGCACAATAAATATTAAACATTAACACTGAAAACAACACATCACAAAATGTATCTCATTAAAGTGACAAAAATAATTTAGTTTAAAAATAAATATTTCATGACATTTCTCTAGTTAAAGACAAATCATAGACCGTTCAACGTAAAGGTTATTGCTGCCATGAGACTGAAGCAGCTCTCCATTGTGTAGCACCGCCTACAGGAAACTGTTCAAATGATGGATTTGTGGAAAAMCTATAAACAGCATCTTACCTGTTGTAGATGACTCTTTGACTGAGCTTAGTTTGGAGAAAAGTTTTTATTCTGACAGCAGCTAACAGCCAGTCCAAGTCAGRCCTGAGTGAACTGTTACAAGTAAAACACCTACAGAAATCTTGAGTTATCTGCAAAGATGTCTTTTTCATCAACTGGACACAAAATCTCTGCTTCACAGCTGACTGGTTGCAGTCACATCACAATGCTCTACAGCAGAAATGACACGAAGGACTCTGTAAGTTCTTTTATGATGACTAAATCTATTTGATCTTCAACCTACTGACAGGCTAATAAWGGTTGGTTTGACAAGGTCTAATTCTAAATGCCAGTCTAGAAATTTGTGAGATTGGAATTATTTTAACATAGCAGATACCCATATTGAAATTGGCTGTTTGAACCAGCTTGTTAGCTCCATAAACATGACTTATTCCTCCAAACTGATGTTATTTAATGAGCAACAGATAAGATATGAAGATATTAATGACTAAAATCTGTAAGWAATACCTGTAAGATCTCTACTCTGTACAGATGGGATGAGATGTGAAASTGGTGGCAGAAAGATTTCTTTGTATCAACTTAGAACAGAAACCAAACATCCAATCAAACACTAATATAATGTGTTACAATCAGTCTTATCACAGACAGTCTGGGCTGCCAGCTTTTAGCATCCCTAAGGTGCTGAAGCGAGAAAAGGAAAACGTTCTGAAGCTGCAGCAACACCCAACTGCAGGCCTTCTTCTGGTTCCCAACTTTATACTAAAGCAGACTCATGACATCTAGACTGAACATCTAAAGGGAAAATCAATTAATTATCTGATCAAAAAAAAGGCAAGCTATGTTAAAGGACACGTGCATGTTTGTGTGTAAACTGCAGAGTATTAACCCAGTCAGTGCAGATGAGCTGGTCAATACAGCTGAATACCACCAAGCATGGGCGGGGTCACATGTCACTGGATGTGAAGGGGGAGGGGTCACATGTCACTGGATGTGAAGGGGGCGGGGTCACATGTCACTGGATGTGAAGAGGAGGGGGTCACATGTCACTGGATGTGAAGAGGAGCGGGGTCACATGTCACTGGATGTTAAGAGGGGAGGGGTCACATGTCACTGGATGTGAAGGGGGAGGGGTCACATGTCACTGGATGTGAAGAGGAGCGGGGTCACATGTCACTGGATGTGAAGAGGAGGGGGTCACATGTCACTGGATGTGAAGAGGAGCGGGGTCACATGTCACTGGATGTTAAGGGGGCGGGGTCACATGTCACTTGATGTGAAGGGGGCGGGGTCACATGTCATTAGATGTAAGGAGGGGCGGGTCACATGTCACTTGATGTGAAGGGGCGGGGTCACATGTCATTAGATGTGAAGGGGGCAGGGTCACATGTCACTTGATGGGAAGGGGGCAGGGTCACATGTCACTTGATGTGAAGGGGGCGGGGTCACATATCATTAGATGTGAAGAGGGGCAGGGTCACATGTCACTGGATGTAAGGAGGGGTGGGTCACATGTCACTGGATGTAAGGAGGGGTGGGTCACATGTCACTGGATGTAAGGAGGGGTGGGTCACATGTCACTGGATGTGAAGGGGGCGGGGTCACATCACTGGATGTGAAGAGGGGCGGGGTCACATGTCACTGGATGTAAGGAGGGGCGGGTCACATGTCACTGGATGTAAGGAGGGGCGGGTCACATGTCACTTGATGTGAAGGGGACGGGGTCACATATCATTAGATGTGAAGGGGGCGGGGTTACATGTCATTAGATGTGAAGGGGGCGGGGTRACATGTCATTAGATGTGGTGCCTTTGCTTTTGCGTCCAGGCAGAGGAAATGACGACTTGCTCTGGGGCTGCGTGAGGCGACTGGTCAGCTGAGTGAAGGGTTCYATGAGTGAGCTGCGTTCAGCCACGCTCACCTCCCACAGCTTCACCTTCTCTCCCCGGGCCCACTGCTGCGCCACCTCCTGGTCCACCTGACGGCGCTCCTGCAGGTCGCTTTTGTTCCCCAACACAATGACAGTTATCTGGAAACACAACAGCCACGTGGAAATTATGGGCAGGTATCTTTAGACATCATTAGTTTCTGAGGACTGCATTAAGAATATAAAACCATTATCATTTTTTGTTTTGGTCATCCTGAATCCTTAGTGACAGTGGTTTATTTTAATAAATAAACACTGATTTCGATAGTTTCATGTCTATTATTTTCTCAGATAGTTTCATGTCAATATTGTAAAGTCGCGTCAACCAACACAACCCCACAACATTCAGAGCGTTAAGGAACTCCAGGTGAATCTCCTCCACCCCTGGTGCCTTGTCACCGAGGAGCTTTTTAACCTCCTCGGTGACGTCGGTACCAGAGATTGGAGAGTCCGACCCAGGGTTCCCAGGCTCTGCTTCCTTTTTGGAAGATGTGCTGGTGGGATTGAGGAGATCTTCGACGTATTCTGCCCACCGACCCATGTTGTCCCGAGTTGAGGTCAGCAGCGCACCATCACTATAAACAGTGCTGGTGAACTGTTTCCCCTGAGACGCCGGATGGTGGACCAGAAAGGAAGTCGTTCTCTAAGGCCTCCCCAACCTCCTCCCACACCTGAGTTTTTGCCTCAGCAACCATCCGAGCCACAATCCTCTTGGACTGTTGGAACGTGTTCAAAACTCTCCCAGGGGTGGGAGTTGAAGCAAAGCGTGACGAGAGACTACTACTTAGTGACTGCAGAGACCCCCTACTCAGAAATACAGACCCCGGCTGGAGCTCAAGCCCTGTACTCAAGCCTGTGAGGGTGAACACTTTTGATCTACTACAGCTTTCAAAGAGTTCTAAAAAAAGGCAGCCTCACCTCCTTCTTGTCCCTGGACTTGTCTATTTCCTTCTTCAGAACGTCCACTCTCTTGAACGAGTCCAAGCTGTCCACACTGTAAACCAGGACGAAGCCATCAGCCACAGAGTAGTAGTGCTTGGGGAGGTCTTGTCCATCATGAAGTCCTCTGGTATCGTAGAGTCTCAGCTGCTCCCTCACACCTCGGTCAGTTTCTACTGAGGCCACGTACACGTCCTCCAGCGTCTCCCTGGACTCTGAACCTGGACAGAGGCACACAACGACGTATTGAGAAGAAAAGCAATCAGTAAGCATGAAAGAAGCAACATCATGGAACCAAGCATTGAGGAACATCTACCAGTTCCTTATCATGTAGCTCAGTGTAGTAGAGAAGCAACTAGGAAACCCAAACAGGATAATAGTAGTACCACTAGTAGAAGTACATACCAATAGAGTGGTTTCCGTACAGCAGCTGTTCCACAATGGCAGTTTTTCCGACCGCTGCTTGGCCACACACCACCACTTTACACCCTTTTCCCATTTTGAGCCTGAAGACAAAATGTCTGAATAATGACACATGTTCAACCATATAGACCTCCATGAGCTGACTAACACTGACCTGTTACCAGTGATTTAAACAGGTTAGTTTCAATAACTATCAGTTCYTTGGTAAAGCTCTGACTAACTCTGACCTGTTACCAATATAAACAGGTTAGTTTCAATAACTATCAGTTCATTAGTAAACCTCTGACTAACTCTGACCTGTTACCAATATAAACAGGTTAGTTTCAATAACTATCAGTTCATTAGTAAATCTCTGACTAACTCTGACCTGTTACCAATATAAACAGGTTAGTTTCAATAACTATCAGTTTATTAGTAATGCTCTGACTAACAATAACCTGTTACCAGTGATATAAACAGGTTAGTTTCAATAACTATCAGTTCATTAGTAAAGCTCACTAACCTGAGGTGACAGAAAACTAGCCTTCTTTTAATCCTGTGAAAGTACACTCCTCAGCCGGTGCCTCCATGTTTTCTTCTGGTCCTTCTTCTTCTGTTGATGGTGTTTGGTGACTGGCGCGTCCTTAAAGTGTTTTACCGCCACCACACGGCCGGAGGGTGATCTGCAACTAACCTCCGTACTTTAATATCCACATGCTAAATGCACCTTTTTTATTTCATGACTCCATTTCGGATAAAATAACAAAATATTTTATTCTAATATTCTCCCTAGTTTTTAGGTGCGTTATATTTACCTATTGTGAATAATGTTCTGTTTAATTTTGTGTGTCCTAATCTGAGTCTTGATCTGACCGCTTTTTTTATTACAAGGACCAAAGCTGCACTGTATTTTAAAGTCAATATTTTGTCTTTTACAAAGGAATTGTTTGGTTTTTATCTTTCAACTTATACTTTTAAATAATGTATTAATAATTTTTAATAAAAATAGCTACAGATTATTCCAGAGCTGACGTCATTAGACAATTCATAAAAAATGTTTTCCTTATGAACTCGTTTCAACACTTTGAGCTTAGGTATCATGTACAAAGTCACGCTAAAGGTCCAAATGCAACCATTGTCAGAAAAGACTACATTTCCCATGAACACAGCAGCGGAAATACGTCATCAACGTGTTGAAAAGGCATGCCGGGTAAATACCATCTCTCTTTCCGGCTGGTTCGCCATCATGTAAGCGAGAATTAATACATTTCAGGAGCGAGAACAATCCATTCAAATCTTCCTTTATACGTGTTCATCCATTCATCAGGGTTAGAATATAACATCAGGACATATTAACTGACCCGATGTTCCGATTAGTTGTTGATAATTGTGATTTAGTTAATATTTTTGTTTCATCGGCAATCTTTCAGTCTGTTAGCCGTCAGCAACGCTGTGTTAGCTTCATGTGCYGTTATTACCGGGTTGTGGTCATATATGAAATGTTTTTAATGTGTATTTCTGACCGGGTTATGCTTCAGAATAAATGATATTAATGTGTAGTTATCACCGGGTTGTGGTTAAAATAGAAATGTTTATATTTGCAGTTATTACCGGGTTTGTGTAGTTTGCTAATGTTGGCTGCGCTACCTAGCATATAGCAAATATAATTAAATTTATAAACATGCTACTGAATAAAAGTGACATATGGGTTGAAAGAAGTGTTTTACTCTTATGTGATAGGTTTAGATGTGTTAACTAGTTAATTAAACTTGGTTAATTTAGTTACTAAACAGTAATGTGGTTAATACAAACAAATATTTATTGCAGTTAAATAAAATCTAGTATCTGAAATCACAGGAAGCAAAACAACTTATTTTAGATATTTAAATTATTTAGCTTCAAGCACTCTGGCTTTATGCATGCGTGATAGTAAGGAAGTCCAACATCTTGCATCCGAAAATGTTTTAAATAAAGTAGTCCTGTTTAGTTTTGCTGTTTTAGTTATTTTAATCAGAAAACAGATACAACATAAACGATATGTTGAAACACCGGGATGGTTGAGTTGTAACAGGTGTGTTAGCTGAGCGTTAATGCTGAAATGTTTTTGTTCAGCAGATAAGTCAACATGGGAGCCTACAGGTARATGCAGGAGCTGTGGCGTAAGAAGCAGTCCGATGTGATGCGCTTCCTGCTCCGCGTCCGCTGCTGGCAGTACCGGCAGCTGTCGAGCCTCCACCGCGCTCCAAGACCCACCAGGCCCGACAAGGCCCGCAGACTGGGCTACAAGGCCAAGCAGGGTGAGGACTCCTGTCCCGACTGAAAACTTCATCCAGAAGAACAAGAACTCCTCTAGACGGGRTCTTCTTTAATGAAACGTTTCTATTTTGATTTTTCTACCTGGGTTACTGASCTGCGTCAGGACATTTCCTTTCATTGCCGCCGTGGGTCCTCAGTGATGTTTTATTCTTGCTTTCAACAGGCTACGTAATCTACCGAATCCGTGTGCGCAGAGGAGGCCGCAAACGCCCCGTGCCCAAGGGTGCCACCTACGGCAAGCCRGTGCACCACGGCGTGAACCAGCTCAAGTTCGCCCGCAGCTTGCAGTCCACTGCTGAGGTGTGTCTTCACTCTTAACGTTGTGTTGTTGTGCTCTTCAAACCAAACGAGCTGCACGGCACGCTAATATCACAGGTGTGCAGAAGGTTGTCACTGCTGAAATTAGGATTTGTTGAAAAACAAATATTTATGCTTAATATAATTAAGAGGAGTGTCTGGTTCTTTTTAAAGTGATGCTCTGGCTAGGAGTATGTTGTTCCAGGAAAGGGGTCTTGATAATTAAATGGATTACAAACGTGCACTCGCACCACTAGTGTGGGGCTGTATCTTTGAAGGATTTGAACTTTCACTGCAGATTTCTTATAATAATAATAATTAAGTTTGTGTTGCTTTTTATATGTTATTGTAACAGTTAACTTTAATGTTGAGCTTGGTACTGGTAGAGAAAAAAAGTTGATTTTTTTATTTTATTTTTAAGCTGATTAGTTTCAATATTCCACTGTCGATCAGTAGTAAATGTATCGAGGTGGCATTTGAATCAGTTTCTAATATACAGTATATGCAG